GTTCACAAAGTCTGAGTCTAAAACAAGACTCGTGCACAAGAATACACGTTTGAACAGTTGTAGCACTGGTACAGTACCTGTAGTAACCACAGGAGGGCACCTCGCTCAGAACTCTTAACTAAAGCCACACAGTTGTTCTGCAGAGCCCACGGAGCAGGAGACTGAAGAGTGTTCTGTGAGGGTCTGGACCTGAAAACCATCATGATGTGTCCTGCTTTCTCTCTGTGTCCTGCTGTCTCTTTGTGTCCTGGTGTCTCTGTCTGTGTCCTGGTGTCTCTGTCTGTGTCCTGGTGTCTCTCTCTCTGTGTCCTGGTGTCTCTTTGTGTCTGCTCTACACAGTTAAAACAATAAAACATTGATAACTAAATATATATATATATATATGTATATTCTTTAAAACATTGTTTTTATAGTAAATTTACCGACACTTAATCTGCAGATACTACAGAAAGTAAAATAACCAAAGATAATCAAATCAATGTTATTGTTATCGCCTGATTCATTAGGGGGCGCCACAGACCCGCATACAGACTCGTACAGTTATAAGGAAAAATAGTATTTGTTGAAATCAATGAAACGTTAGAAGTACTTCAAAGAACTACAACAAGCCTCTCACTTTTACAGCTTTACCCAGCTTTGGACTGGGTATAGCTGTTTTTCCAATGTGGTTTTACTGCAAATGCCAAATAAATGAATCTGAGTCTGATCTGATCTGATAGAACTGTATTACTGCAAATACTGTCAGACTTAGAAGTATTCAAAGTTACCACTAAAACGTTTAAACACTAAATCAATCTATCTATCTATCTATCTCCTCCTCACCATGCATGGCGGGTTCCATCCCAAATCCAGCACCCTGAGACTGTACGTAAGCCGTAAAGAAGGAGGCCGAGGACTAGTGAGTGTGAGAGCCACTGTCCAGGACGAAACATCCAAACTACATCATGGAGGCCAAAACGGATGACGTACTCAGTGAATGTCTCAGGCAGTGGCGAGATGAGGAGGTGCTGGAGGAGAGCCCATCATGGGAGAACAAGCCTCTACACGGCATGTACCACCGGAGCATAACAGAAGTGGCTGATCTCAAGGAGTCTTACCAATGGCTAGAAAGGGCTGGCCTACAGGACAGCACAGAGGCACTCATCATGGCTGCACAGGAACAGGCACTGAGCACCAGAGCGATAGAGGCCCAGATATACCACACCAGACAAGACCCAAGGTGTCGGTTGTGCAAAGAGGCACCTGAGACGATCCAACACATAACTGCAGGGTGCAAGATGCTGGCAGGGAAGGCCTACATGGAACGCCATAACCAAGTGGCTGGCATAGTGTACAGAAACATCTGTGCAGAGTATGGGCTGGAAACCCCAAGGTCTAAGTGGGAAACTCCTCCAAAGGTGGTGGAGAATGAGCGTGCAAAGATCCTGTGGGACTTCCAGATACAGACCGACCGAATGGTAATGGCGAACCAACCTGACATCGTGGTGGTAGACAAAGGGCAGAGGACAGCCGTGGTGGTGGACGTGGCAATTCCAAGCGATGGTAACATCCGGAAAAAAGAACATGAAAAGCTTGAGAAATACCAAGGGCTCAGAGAGGAGCTGGAGAGGGCCTGGAGGGTAAAGGTGACAGTAGTGCCCGTGGTGATCGGTGCACTCGGGGCAGTGACCCCGAAGCTAGAAGAGTGGTTACAGCGGATCCCCGGAACAACCTCGGACATCTCGGTCCAGAAATGTGCAGTGCTAGGAACAGCAAAGATACTGCGCAGAACCCTCAAGCTCCCAGGCCTCTGGTAGAAGACCCGAGCTTAGAGAGGGATAACCGCCCGCGGAGGGCCAAGGGTGAGTGGACAATTTTATTATATATATATAATATCTATATATATATATAATTTTATATCTATAATTTTATATCTAAGATTTAAAGAATGTCCCAGTATAAAAAACAGCTTGGAGTAAAAAATATTTCAAATACTAGAAACATACACACACCAAAGGTATCAGAAGTGTGGTAGAGTTTATGCCCTGGGGCAGACCAACAGAGAGGTGGCCACTAATCTGTGCCATCGTCTCCTCCCACCACCACCAACCATTCACACACACCAGACTCATTCTAATGTGGGGGAAGTGTCTTGCCTGAGGACACAACCACAGTTTGACACTTTACAGCCACCTCACTGTGGCAGTCGAATTTATTTGTGTATCGCTCTGAATCTCTGACGACTTTACAAAGTTGTCGATTGTCGAGAACATTGTCTCAGGTCTGAGGCAGAACATAGTCTCAGATCTGAGGAAGAACATAGTCTCAGGTCTGTGGTCTGAGGCAGAACATAGTCTCGGGTCTGAGGTCTCTGGTCTGAGGTCTGAGGCCGGACATAGTCTCATGTCTGTGGTCTGAGGTCTGAGGCAGAACATAGTCTCAGGTCTGAGGTCTGAGGCAGAACATAGTCTCAGGTCTGAGGTCTGAGGCAGAACATAGTCTGAGGTCTGAGGCAGAACATAGTCTCTGGTCTGAGGTCTGTCTGTCTCCTTCTGTCTGTCTGTCTGTGTCTGTCTATAGTCTGTCTAGTAGTGCAAGTTAGTAAGGGATAATGTATAGTAGGCAGGTCATTATTGGAAAATAAGTACCCACAGGGTGAAGTAATCTGCACACCTGAATTACAAGCAGAGAGTACGTTGCCAAATGGCAGCGGTTAGGGCTGGGCGATATAAACGGTATAAGCGGTATGCGATATAAATTTGGCCCACGGTAGAGATTTTTGTTATACCTGTCATATTGCGATAGGTCATTATGTCATTAAATTGCGCAGGCTCTGACGCCAGCAGAAAGGACCAAAACAAACCGGCATTCAGCAGCATTAGCCTAGCACATTAGCCTAGCATTAGCCTAGCACTATTGGACACCACTGGAAACAACGAACAACAGCACGGCATTAACACCGTGTTTCTGTCTATGTATTGTTGTCACAGCGGCCCCAGCAGAGGTAAATACACACACAGTAATCACAGTTTAAGAGTCTACCTTTTGGCCAATCAGTGTCAAAGGGGCGTAGGCTCGAAGCGCCAGCGCGAGCCAAAATAGATCCATGCGTGTGCCGTGTCCGCAGCATTACAGCAGAAGTTTGGGAAAGTTAGCGTCAGATTCGGACCTCCGCGGTCAATAGCTCACGAAAGCTACTTTGTTAAACAAAATTATTTGTGCCAAAATGATCATTTACATCAATTGTTCAAATCCAATGTGCTGTTTTAATGAACATAAATCCATTGAATCATCCAGTTCACTGCAAGCGCAGAGAAAAGCGCTTAGGGAGCGTCAACAAATGGCAAGACCAGCTTTGTAAAATAGCTTTTACTGAAGTCATGTACCTGCACGAAACTCTCAGACACTATGAATAATGACCATGTCTAACGCCTACAGACTTTGATTTCAACATTTGTGAGTTTTTTATATTTTAAATGAATGCATATGTTTTTCTTTTTAAAAATTGCTTTTACAGTGAATGGTATTTACTGTAACATACATAAATAATGTATGTTATTTGTCTCTTTATTCGTCTCACAACTGATTTTCTAACTCAAAAAATATATATATTAGATTCTAATATATAAATAATTAACAATCTTGACTATTTCATGCAAGAACCTGCTAGACCTATATTGAAATTCACACAACAAATTATACCGCAATATATACCGTCTACCGTCTGTGTCCCAAATTATATCGCAATATGAATTTTAGGCCATATCGCCCACCCCTAGCAGCGGTCATTATTTGTTTGAGAGGTCAGTTATAAAGACATAATGACCGCGGAACGTTTTGAAATTACATTTAAATCAATGAAGCATTCTCCTGCTGTGAGGAGCTGTGTAAAAAATATATATAGTTCGGCGTAAAGACGTTCTGAAATTGCACTATTGCACATTACGATCTGGAGCAGAGTTTGTTTCACTCGGCTTCAGATCTGGTCCTGTTTATTTGTATATGTCCAATAACTAATAAATAAACTTGCAGTGTATCTCAGTCTGGGTGGTTTTCAGATAAACGTTACTGTCTCCAATGGAACTATGCAGTGATACAGCTGCAGATAAAACACTGGTGTCAAACAGAAACACTTTGCGTCTGTAGCGAGTGCAGTGTCTGTAGCGAGTGCAGCGTCTGTAGTGAGTCTGAAGGTGATCGTTGCACAATACATCTATTTATAACAAAGAAGAAACCGGAGAGCGGCTTTAACACTCTCTGTCTGCAGTTTATGACCGGGCTCTGCCTCAGCTGCTCACACATTACACTTGTGTTACAGACCTCACATTACACCTGTGTCACAGACCTCACATTACACCTGTGTTACAGACCTCACATTACACCTGTGTTACAGACCCCACATTACACCTGTGTTACAGATCCCACATTACATCTGTGTCCTCACATTACACCTGTGTTAAAGACCTCACATTACATCTGTGTTACAGACCTCACATTACACCTGTGTTACAGACTTCACATTACACCTGTGTCCTCAAATTACACCTGTGTTACAGACCTCACATTACACCTGTGTTACAGACCTCACACATTTCAGAGTCTTTTTCCTCCAGAGAGAGCGGAGCATTGATCAACCTTAAACCAAACATCAGCAGCAGAAACCTGATTATACAATAGTATATTACAGTAAATATGTGATGGTCACTGCTGGTCCCCAGTACGCCGCTGGTCCTCAGTACGCCGCTGGTCCTCAGTACGCCGCTGGTCCTCAGTATGCCGCTGGTCCTCAGTATGCAGCTGGTCCTCAGTATGCCGATGGTCCTCAGTACGCCGCTGGTCCTCAGTATGTTGCTGGTCCTCAGTATGTTGTTGGTCCTCAGTATGTTGCTGGTTCTCTGTATGTTGCTTGTCCTCAGTATGTTGCTGGTCCTCAGTACGCCGCTGGTCCTCAGTACGCCGCTGGTCCTCAGTATGTTGCTGGTCGTCAGTACGCAGCTGGTCCTTGTCCCTGCAGCCTCCGGTCACTGGGTCTTCTTCTGCGTTTCCATGGTGACGGGGCTCCTCCCACACAGCGAGGGGAGCAGGAGGTTAGCGCTGAGCACTCCTGGGGTCAGAGACTTCACTGAGATACTTCAAACACTCACAAAAATCATGATGTAACATGTGATTCACTGAAGACGTCATGGTCGAAACCAGATAGATCAGGAGGAAATAAAGCGTTCAGAATTTCAATCTGAAACAGAGCAGAAGCAGACTCTGCACACATCAGCTGCTGCACTTTATACTGTTGTTAGTCACTTACACTTACAATCATGTATGTTTGTTTGGATGTATTCTTCTGCTGGACACCTGCATTTCTCCTACAGGAATCAATATCAAGTATCTATTATTCTATAAAGCTGGGGCACCTAACTTTCAAACGACCACAGTGGAACTATGTAATATAATCCATGATAGTAATAAGTTGTTCTAATATCTCTCAAAACTGTATGTTGTGCATTCATGTTGTGTAACACATCCTGACTTGACACTGACTTCCAAATGTCAAATGCAGCAACCTCCATGGTGATGTCACACAGTGATATCACACGGTAATGTCACACGGTAATGTCACACGGTAATGTCACACGGTGATGTCACACGGTGATTTCACACGGTGATGTCACACGGTGATGTCACACGGTGATGTCACACGGTGATGTCACACGGTGATGTCACCGACCCAGTGGCTCAAAAGGTTCTTTGAATTAGACCTAAGCAGAAAGAAGCTAGTTCTGGTTCATCACCAAATGTTTAGACTATCAGCTGTTGTTACTAATGTGTGAGGGGGCGTGGTCAGACTGAAGGGGCGTGGCCAGTCTGAGAGGGCGCGGCCAGTCTGAAGGGGCGTGGATAGTCTGAGAGGGTGTGGCCAGTATCGGGGGCGTGATCAGACTGACTTGTCACTGTCTCTGTCGAAGGCGAAGTCTTCACAGGACTAGATTCTTACACTTGTGTCATAAACATAAAAGACATTATGCATCATTACATTCACTTCTCAGTTATGTCTGTGTTTGTCTGTCTTTGTCGGTGTTTGTCGGTGTTTGTCTGTCTTTGTCTGTCTTTGTTGGTGTTTGTCGGTGTTTGTCTGTGTTTGTCTGTTTGTCTGTGTTTGTCTGTGTTTGTCTGTGTTTGTCTGTGTTTGTCTGTGTTCATGATGGTGTGAGACTCACCGAGGACTGGGCCCAGGCAGTAGACCAGGAGGAAGTCCAGGTAAGAGAGTCCAGAGCAGGGGAACTGTAGAGCCAGGGCCAGGACCGGGTTCATCACGGCTCCTGAGACGGCTCCACCTGATGCACACGCACACTGTTAATATGGCTAACACGGCTAAAAAGGCTTACATAGCTAACACTGCTAATACTATTCACACGGTAAACACTGCCAACACTGCTAAAACTGCTGGCACTGTCACCAGAGGACCTCTGGTACCAGAGAACCTTGGCAGAGGACTTCTGGGAGATGACCTCTAACCTCTGACCTCTAACCTCTGACCTCTGACCTCTGGTGGAGGACCTCTGACCTTTGGGAGAGGACCTGAACTTAGAAAGGTGTTATTCATAAATATATAAAGTGTGTCTCACCTGTGAGGACCATGGCTGTGATCCCAGCGCTGAGGGCATGCAGGCGCAGGGCCGGGGGCAGGCGGTGCAGCTGCAGCACTAGGACCTGGATGCAGGCGCAGCAGAACAGCTCTGTGGCCGCAGCCTGCAACACTGAGCCCCTCACAGCAGACGAACACTGAAACCCAGACCTCTGGTGTCGCACATGCACCTGGGACCAGCCCTGAGACCACAGCTGCACAGACAGCACCTGTGCCAGCACAGCTCCACTGACCTGTGCCCCCACCAGGACCAGGGCCTGGGGCGGCCGCAGGGCCCCGCGCCACAGCCGCTCTAGGGGCCCCAGCACCGAGCAGCTGGCCCCACGGAAGCTGCGCAGGTGCAGCAGCGTGAGGCCGTATAGCAGCGACACAGACGCACACAGCTGCAGCTCTGAGCTCGCTCCCAAGAGCTGCATCTCCAGAGCACACCAGCACAGCTGCAGCGTACACACCAGCTCCCACAGGGCCTCCTGGTACACAGGGGACACACCAGGGGACACACCAGAGGACAACTGAGACATCGCCCCCCTACACAGCTCACACAGACCCACCACGGCCCCCACCACCAGCAATGACACCAGCGCCGACATGTCCCAGGAAGAGGGCACCAGCAGAGACAAGTCCCAGGGAGAGGACACCAGGAGATCTCACATGTCCCAGGAATGGTGTGAGCACAGAGACTGAGAAACTGCTCTGAGCACAGCCTGCCGCCTGTGTGTGTATGTTTTTCTGTATATATGTGTGTGTGTGTGTGTGTGTGTGTGTGTGTGTGCGTGCGTATAGGTCTGTGTGCTGTACTCTGCTCCACGTCAAAGTCCAACTCTCGGGCCCCCGAGGCCCCCGGGGGCAGAGGCAGAGGCCACTCCTCCTCAGCACCGGTCCAAGTCCTACACAATAAAGGAACAGGAGGAACAAGAGCAACAGTTCAACTGTCCACCAGCTGATTGGCTGAGACCGGATCCAAGGCGGTGCTAAACTTAGACTCACTGGTTCCACTTGATTCCCTGTATTTGCTTTTCTCAGGCTGAGATGTGGAAAAGAAGTTGCAAATACTTAACTGCATTATTTATCAGGAAAAAAGGAGACACTTTACGGTAGATTTGTGTTACTGTAATGTATTTGACCATTAACAGTGCATTTTACATACGGACCATTTATACACACATACGCTCAGGTATGTATTCACACACTTATATCTTTTTAAGATATGGTCAAGTACATAATTCATAATTAAATGTAGGCTCCAAAAAGTATAGATAATAAACTTTTTCAGACTCATTTATTTTGAAATACTGAGTGGTGTCTCAGTGTTTCAGCCTGACTGTCTTCCCAGCAGAGGAGGAGAAGCAGGACCAGCAAAGGAAGAGGAGGAGGAGGAGCAGGGGGAGGAGCAGGACCAGCAGAGGAGGAGGAGCAGAAGGGGGGACAGGACCAGCAGAGGAAGAGGAGGAGCTGGAGGAGGAGCAGGTGGAGGAGCAGGAGAAGGAGTAGGAGGAGTAACAGGACCAGCAGAGGAGGAGGTAGCCCTGACTCCTCCCTTCCTCTCGCACACATCAGTGTCTTCAGGTTTTTGTGCTCAGTGAATCCCACAGAAAAGGACTCAGGCCTCAGTCTGAAAAGAACCATTTAAAAAAAAAAAAAAAAAAAATTATGAAAAACTAAAATTAGAGCAGAATATTGATCACTTCCACGTCCCCTGAACCCCAAAGAACTTCATTTTAAAATGTTAAATGACACGTATTCTACAATCATTGTTATGCTTATAATAGAATTCACCTCAACATGTATATTATCACCATCATCATTATTTTTATTTGTTTCATTATTATTTGTATCTTTATTCTGTATCTTTATTCTGTCGAGAGGAACCAGTTGAGGTGGCTCGGGCATCTGTTCAGGATGCCTCCTGGACGCCTCCCTGGGGAGGTGTTCTGGGCCCAGGGGAAGACCCAGAACACAGAGGGACTATGTCCTTCTCTATGAACACCACCAACCCAGCAACGGATGAAGTGGAAGAAAATAGATGGATGAAAAAAAATAAAAATAATAATAATTTGTTATTATTATTAAGTATTTAGTACTTATCTTAACTACAGCCTATAGCTGATGGGACAGGCAGTAGCTGAAGGCTGTAGTTTTCATATAGTCCCATAGGCTTCATATTATTATGATGAATCGTTCATTTAAATAGGCAAATGTATCCGTCTGAGCCCAGTTTAGTTGTACACGGCCCTCATGCTTTGCACAGGACTAAAACTCTGCAGTATTTACTACTACTAGTAGAAATTTAAAATCTCCTGCAATAAGTATTTCAGTAAACTGATTATTAATGGGCTCAATACTACAGGATTCATGAATTGACTAAGCTAAGATTCCTGGTTCTCACCCAGAGAACCACAAATCTCCATGATTTCACAGGTTTTTTGAAAAATGGGCAATGTCAAAATTATACAGTTAAAATCTGGCTCGAAGGACCACATTTTCAATTACAATTATGCTGCAATAGTATAAGTGAGATCCTTGAAGACCTTAACTAACTGCTACATATACGGAGAAATCAAGTCGAGAAGGCCTTTGCAGATCGAATTGATTTCAAAAGTATTGGAACAATAAAAAACAGCAAGCTCCCTGACTTTATTAAACATAACAGGCTCATTTTTATGTAAGAACCCACTTCTGGAGTGATGACTGACAACCACTTTAATATGTTCCTTACATAAAAGTCAAATAAAAGTCGGCCAAATTAGAGAACTATAGCATCAGAAGACCAGACAGAAAGCATGCCCCGCTAAGACAACAAAGAGTTGGAGACATATGTGTTCAGATTCAGATTCAGATTCAGATTCAGTTTATTTGCCATTTGCAGTAAAAAAACCACATTGGAATACATTAGCAAAAGTCTCCAGTGTGCACAGACAAATACAGACATAAAACAACATTAAAAGACAAAAATAAAACAAATAAAACAGTAAGCAAATGTCACTGTGAAATCGATCGACTAAAACAGTTCAAAACAAGTGCAAATCATTAAAGTGCTCTGTTCACACTGATAACAGCCTGTGGATAAAAACTGTTAGCGTAACGAGATGTCCTGCATCTCAGAGAGCGATATCTTCTGCCAGAGGGAAGAAGCTGGAACATGGCTTTCCCAGGGTGGCCAGAAGAGTCATTAACAATCCTAAGAGCTTTGTTTAAAAGTCTGGATTTATAAAGAACCTCCAGAACAGGAAGCTCACAGCCCACGGTCCTCTTTGCAGAGCGGAGCACCTTGTTTAACGCTCTCTTTTCTTTATCTGTGATGTTTCCAAACCACACAGACACAGAACCAACAAGTAAACTCTCAATGGTGCAGCGATACAAGTTAAGCAGAATCTTAGAGTTAGTGGTAAATTCTCTAAGTTTACGCAGAAAGTAGAGACGCTGACGAGCTTTCTTAACGACTCGGTCAGTGTTTTTAACCCATTTCAGGTTGTTAGACAGAGTTAAACCCAGAAACTTGCACTCCTCTACGATCTGCACCTGGGAGTTGTCGATTACGACAGGCAAATGAGAACTATTGCGACTGAAGTCGTAGACCAGTTCACATGTTTTCGATGCGTTTAACTGGAGGTTGTTAGTTTGACTCCACTGAGGAGAACCAGTGCTCACAGAAACAACATCAGAAAGACGGTCATTGATTTTCACTCTCTGAGATCTGTCAGTTAAAAAGCTAAAAATCCATTTACACATGGCAACACTTAAACCGAGAGACATGAGCTTTTCAATCAGTTTACCTGGGACAAGGCAGTTAAAAGCAGAGCTATAATCGATGAAAAGCATTCTCGCGACAGATTTACTAGTAGTGTTGGATGTGGAGAGGAAAGACACAGACTGTTTATCTGTTGAAAGTCCCAAAGTGTACCAAAGAAGAATGCCACTCTCAAAAGACTAAAAGAGTATGCAACATTTGTCTCAGCTGGCATACAAGTGATGAGGGGTGTGAACTATCCTACATCCACAAGAGCAAGGATTACAAACAAGGAGGTTCCAATGAACATCTTTATCTACTGTGTTCAAAGAAGAGAAGTGGCACCAAAAGTGAAGTCTGGCAAAGAATCAAGGAGAGGGGATGTTACCCAACCAAAGATCAGGAGAAATTTCTGTCTGATTTGTCTCCGGATATGGCAGAAAAGTGCAGGAAGGCCTTCACAAATAGCAGCACTCCCAGTCATTCTTATGTTAATGGAGGTTACTGCAAATGGTGGTAGAAGATCGGGACCCTCAAAGGCTTCTGACAGAAAGGACATCAATCACAAAGCTACCCACAGACTCAGACTACAGAGTTAAGACAAACAAATACCTCCTCAGAGTTCACATCAAGACTGCAGCAGGTGACGAAGAAGCACATGCACTTGTTTTCTATGAAATTTACAACGGTGAATTGGCAAATGTCCCTGGATCAGCAGCAGAGGTGGAGTAGCCTCTGGGTGGAGTAGGATGAGTCACTGTTTCATGGTGTGATAATGGTACCCCTGAACCAGGCCTCCTGCATCTGTGAGTAGATAGTATAAACTTTAATACTTCACCTTGTTTCACGTTCATGTGGAGAAAAGACCATTGTTTATATGTGTGTGTACTTGCACCAATCATGTCTCAGATGAAGGGGGGGCTGGGGCCAACATTGTATTAAAGACATAACAGCCTAATTGTTACTAATTTCAGCATTTTCAGAGAACCACGTGCCTCATCTTGGACCTGTGTCCATCCACCAGCAATTGCTACACTTATCAATAAGGACAGAGCCTCATCCACGCTGCAGTCGTGGGTTTGGACAAAGCTATGTGCAAAGCGGGGCATAGTGGGTCGATAAAATGTTCTTGTTGCCATTAAGGAACCCAGAATACCATAGAGTAGTGCTATCCCAATAAACATACTCCGATTGTAGCCTATCTTCGCTACAACTGAAGCCAGAGTTTTCAAACTCCAAGTTATTGTCTGGAACGACCGGAGCAAGCAGCTTAGGTCGTTTCGCGTGGTTGACCTCCAAATTATTGTGGCGGGCTTTAACTCTATCCACTGTTTGTGGCTAATAACTTAGGCAATCTCAGGTTTGGTGTCAATGTCCAGTGGTAGTTAACTTTGGGACCCGTGCCTCCTTGTGCATGCCGGTAGAAACATGGGAGCATTTGCTAGGTCACTACGTTAACCACCCGTAGGCCGCTTGGTGATTGAGGCAGATTTAAATTGATCAGCACATAAGGTCTCGGCCTAGTAGATTAACGGACAATGGGAATATAGAAAACGAATGTTTAAGCTGGTTGCCCTGAAATCAAAACACTTAGCGGTGACTTAAATGCTCTTTAGTCTCTCTCCCGACGCTTGCAATGAGAATGTGAAACGGCCACTCATTTTATGGGAGACAGAAAGGCTGTCCACTTTTTAAGCACAGAATTTGTTGCCCCGGAATCACTAGTAAAGTAACTTTTTCCGCCACAGATTGTTAGCGTATGTTCCGGAAATTAGCATGAATTTTCTCAAAAAATGTGTACGTGCCGATTCAGTTGGTTCAACACTTACGTGAAAGATGAGTGATCGCTTCGGTGACGTGTAT